TAGAATATATTTTACTGTCTATTTCATATTTTGTAAAACGTTAACAAACTTTTTATTAAAAAACTTATAAGTTATTTGTCCCTCCTTTTTAGCATGCCTTCGTGGTGGAGTGATCAACACGCTCGGAGCGTATTCGAGAGGTCGGAGGTTCGAGTCCCGGCGAGACCATTGCTCATTTCTCATCTCTTTTGCTTCCAAATAACCTAATATCTCTAGAAACTCAACAATTGGAATGCGAGCTGTGGCAACACTGTAGGAAATAAAACATTTTTATCTCCAAGGCGGGAGACCGTCTATCGGAAATTCTAAAAATTTGCTGTATTTAAATATTTTAACCCAATGTGGCGTTATCCCAAACGCTTTAGAAACGAGAATGTGTGTAAATAAAGCAAAACCTCTTTATTACGTCCAAATAATTGGGCGTAATAAAAAATCTGAAAGCTTTTAGACATTTCTTTATTATATTATATATATATATATATTTGTTTGCTCAAAGGTGTTTTACTTGCTGAACTTTCATACTACAATGGATTCGCTTTACCACATTATAAACCTGTCTCGTCTCGATTTAGTGTGTTAATTTTCAGTAAAATTCGATTTGTTAATGTTACACATCGATTTCAGTAGAATTCGATTTCCATAAGGTAATCTCCTATTTGATAAAACAACGACATGATATAAGGTCCTTTTCAGTGTGTAGAGAATTATTAAAACGTGAGTTGATAGTAATAAATATTGCATTTAAAATGCTAGGTATATGTAATATATAAAATTACTTATTTTTTCCTTTTTTTAGTTAATGCAGCATCTAAAAACGACTTCCATGCTTCTGAACTGACATCCTAAAAAATACACTATTTTGCCATTTAGAATTATTATACACACTATTTTGAATTAAGCAAGCAAGAATAGATAGAAGCAGTATGCAAGAAAGATAGAATAGATGCAAGGACATGCATATTTCACTATGCATTCTTATTTCCACTCATTTTATTAAACTGATTCTGGGATAAATCAGCACAAAATGAAAATGTTTAATTATTTTGCTTAATTAAATTAAATATAAATGAATTAAATGCTCAGTTATTTTGCTTGTAAAATGCTTAATGGATTCTAAAGTCGCTTGTCGCAAAATCTTATTCTATATTATACATAATTTAAGCAAATTATTCTAGAAATTTAAATATTTAGGAATGATGTACGCATTACATCTTCATACATTTCCCCTGGACTTTTATTCTTTAATCTGACAGATTTCATATTATATTTTACATAGTTTGCCAAAAAACTAAGTTTTCAAAAGTTTTGCACAAACTGCCTAAAAATATTAATGTTACTTTTCGTCTACCTTGTCCTCCGTTTCCGATGCAAATCTTTATGTAAATCATCAGATGCTTCTGGTTTTAGTTTAAAAGTTGCTTTCAGACACGAACGTTGTCAACAAAAAATAAAGTTCGCTCTCTTCGTGGCAATGAAAAATTTTCAGAAACGCATCATTAGTCAGCAAAAAAAGTAGTTTAATTTCCTAGAGTTGTGGTTTTTGTCTAGTTTGCAAACAAAGTGCTTTTCTACCCAAATGAAAATTTATGAGCGAGCAAATGGCCAACAAAGAAGCTTAAAATCTACCGGGAAAGGTGTATACTGTTTTCTTGGTCATGTAAACAACATTTTCCAGTTGCCTGTTTTAATAACGCTGTTTATCTCTAGCTCGTAGTACCCCTACATCACACAATAAAGTAAAAAAAATAGTACTTTATATGCGATATTATATGACAAATAGAATTTAAATATTGGCATAGACATATATTGTAAAAAAGCATATGTAAATGCGTTTTTACAACATACAGGTTTTTAATGGTTTACAGATTTTTAATGGTTTTCGCTGCAATAGAGGTCTAGATAATACTAATTTAAAAATACTAATTAAAGTACTTACTAAATTTTTTATAATAATTTATGGTTTTAATTGAATTTATGTTCCTTGGAGATAATATGTGATAAATTATTGGTTTTCTAATGATAAATTATTGGTTTATTACTTAGCAGCTTTAGCGCAAATTTAGGCTTACTAATTTAGTATGTATATACGTATATATATATATATATAATGAAAAATAAATTAATTCTTTTTGCAATATGCGCTACGAGCATCCCATTTTGTCAGTACAAAATGAATAAACACAAAGCAAAAAGCAATTAACAATCTAATCTATTTGAGCGCTGAATGCGCCAACAAGTGGGGGTAGCAATGCCCCCACTTGTTGTAAACAAAATAAAAGTAATAAATAAATAAAAAAATAAATAAAATAAATAATTTAATTTGCATTACTGCACCAATTTGTTTTAGCGAGCATTTGTATTAGGTTTTGAAATTTATTTTACTTTGCATTTATTCGTATATTATATAAATGCTCTAACACCAGTTGTATAGTATGACAGAACAACAGAACTTACAATTATAATTAACTAGCAAAAAAAGAAGAACAAATATTCTCACTAAAGGAGAATTTTTTCTAAAGTTCAAGGTTACTAGAAAATAATGACTTTACTGTTTTGAAATCTGTGAAACCTTAAAAAAATTAGTAATAGATCAATTCAAATTAGTAGATATTTTTTCATGCATATATGTGACCTATAGTTTAAATAGGATACGTAAAGTTTCCTAATTCTCAGAAATGCACTGAGGGTAAACTCAGACTTCTAAAAAATCAAAAATTTCTATGTTCTATTTTCAATCAAAATTATAAGGAATTTTGAAATCAAATTGTACTAAATAGCCATTGATTAATTAAAATTTTAAAAATTAAAAAAATGCTGCAGCAAAATTGTATTATTGCAATTAAATTTTACTTTTAATTATGGATTAATAGAAGTGTTAAAAACAAATTATATATATAAAGTTCTATATATATTCTATATATAAAGTTCTATTCTATATATATATAAGTATTTAAGGGTTCGTAAGGTCGTTTATTAGTTAAATTAATAGCCTTTATAAGTTATATTTATAGCTGGAATCAATAAACAGTCTTCACAAAGAAGCTGACATTTTCTTTCTAGAAACAATAAAAACAACTCAAGAAATCCCCTTTCGAAATGATTATTAATCTACTAACTCCTGTCCGAATAATGGTCTATATTTGTTCCAAATCAGGAAAATAAAATTAGCAGTAAGTATGTTTATGATACTTTAGTAAGGTTTTCACAGGTAAATCATGATCTCGTCTAAATAGATATGTATGCAAAAAATACTATTCCCACTTGAATTAAAATATAACCTGCATCGTTTGATACAATTTCCTTTGCATCATAGACTGATTTTCCATACCTAAGTATTATATTTTCAGCCCTTCCTTGTTTTGAAACTATTACGGATAGTTAAATCAACCAAAACAGAACCTAGAAGCTCCCAGCTTTAGTCCAGAAGAAGGAATATTATTTTTGGTCTGGTAAATTGCGCAGCATGCCGTATAGGAGGTTCCAAAATGAATATACTAAAGAACCTTTATAGCGACAGAATAATAACCAAGGATTATGACTAACAAGATCTGTAGATTTTACCAGCGTAGATTATATTTCTTTGAACGCTTAAAACAAAAGCTTTCATAAACAACATCCACACCTTAGAAGAGTTGAACGCATTTGTTGAAATATGTATAGAAGAGCACTAAATTAGAGGGAGATCATGTCTCACATATGTTTAAGCCAAGGGAATTTTCACAAACGTGTGCATTCTGCAATATGCCCGCTTTTGAACTGAATATCTTATGGGTGTATCTCTCCATCTCTCTCGCTCTCTCTATATAGTATATATTTCTATCTATCTAGCTACCTACCTATATCTATAACACACATACATATATACATACAATTAAATAGCTTTAAAACATTAAACTGTAGAAGTGTAATATGTACCCTTTTTGTACACAACTTTTATATACTAGACTGACGCTACTTTTATAGAACTCAAATGGATGAGAACGACAGCTGTAAATATCAGTAATAACTTTTGATCAAATATGCAATCAATATGATTTATCATGAATTTGTAACTCATTGAATACTTCAGATATTTTGTCTCATTTGAAAGCCAAAGGAGCTAATGCTTATGCTTCTTTTAAATCTTAAAAAATTATGTAACAAAAGCTTTTAGAAGAGAACTAACGGAATCGTGTTTAACAGTTCATCGAAATATCTACAACAAGCACGATCGAAAAATAAAATCTTATTGAACATGGAATAATTAAATACAACAAATGTGTAAAATAAGAAAAATAAAGGATTTTACATTATGCATTTTTGAGTAAAGGTACTGACAATTTTTATTGTATCCTTTGCAATAAAGATGTTTGTTTAAAATATATGCAATTTTCTTACAGAAACGTAAATTTTATTTGCAATGAGTATGGTTTAACTCTATCCCACGATTTAAAAAAACACTGTGCGTTTTATTTTTTAAAAATTTCTTTTCCTCATTTACTTTTCATAATCCGTACTTAAATATCCTACATTCAAGGTAGAAAAGTGTTATTTTGCAAATGTATGTGCTAATAAAATGTAAAATTCAACATAACATATATAATATAAGTGAAAGTTCTTGGGTATGAATGTTCTTTGAAGTACGACGTTATCAGAGGTAAAAAAATAATGTTGCGAAGATAAAAAGGATATACATTGATCTTTAAGATCTAGAAGATGTGCGCGAAATAAGGCACGGAATGTGATGAAAAAGATAATGTAAGTGTACGTAACATTAATGACAATATACTGTTCAATATTATATTCAAATTAACAGTCACTAGCACATAGTTTTCGATGCAGGTGCTTGTTGGTGATAGATCACGTTTGTATTATAATACACATTAAATTCTGTGGCTTAAAAAATGTGTGCTGGTGAAATAAAATGAGTTAGTAACGACTTTGTTATGGAAAACTTAGAACAAATAAACGCAGATGAGAATTGAATCCAATAGTTTTTGAATCATTGAGTAAATTCTTACCTCTGTATCTTCCGGCAGCCGTGGTATTATTCCTTCCAACAGCTCTGCAAACTACCAGTAACACTATTAATACCACTACAGCAGAGCGGTGCTCTATCATGTTGACAGTCGCGTACACAGTTCAAGAAACACAAACTTTCTACAACAAAAACTCGGCAGGAAAATGGAACAATGAAATTTACGGCCCGCGCTTCGAAGAGGCGAGTACTCCTTGAATGACGGGCCTCCTAAAAAGAACGTCAAAACTCCAGCCTCGCGAATTATTGAATATAATTGGAGTAAGTGGTGGATGAGTCACGTGGTTTACTGCGAAAACGTGGTGATTCGCGACTGAAGAGATCAAAGAAGTGGACAGCCTAATAAGAGATGTCGTTGAAATATGTGCTTTCTTTCGAAGGCGTTTCTAAAAGTTATGTTTTGAAGAGATTTGAACCATTTGTTGACATTTCTGTCTGTACTAAAATGAATTATACTAGTGTCTCTCCAAGTCTGGAACTTTGTATCTAAAAATAAAGCTTTATCTGAACTTTATCCGCACGTATATGTTCTCTTAGGCGGCGTGATTAAAACTGAAAAATGCTACTCAGACAGTTAATGACAGGGTACATATAAATCTCGAAGGAGAAAAGAATGTACGAAAATTTCCAGCTTTCAGTATTGTAATTGTGGCATTCTTGGAATTTCTAGAACAGTATATAGATTTAAAAAGAAAAATACTAACACGGCACGATTTAAAAAATTATCTTCTAAAGAACAGATGAGGAAATATTTGTCAACATGACCTTTCTAAGCGTATTTATAAGGTATTTGACAGATTTCTGTTTTATATAAGAAAAATTTACGTTTTAGGAATTAGTGAAATATACCAATTAAAACTTTTAGAGAAACTGTATTATGTTTTTGAAAATTCCCTTACTCTAATTATAGTAAATTATCATTTCAATAAACGTATTTTGGATGAATATTTCCCAAATTTTGATTAAAAATTTTAAATATTATAACTTTGAATCCCTACTTCAAGGAAAATCTTCGTAAGATTTTTACACTTTTATTCAGTCTTTAATATCTATAATTAAACAATAAATTACTTCAAGTCCGAGAAATTCTCAAATTTAAAATGTTATAACATATTCATGAGGAATCTTTTTCCTTGGGGGGTTGGAGAATAAAAACTGTTTACTATAATCACTTTTAGCTATGAATGGGCTTTGATTTTACATGCTGTAATTAACAGTTCAAGTTAGTAAAATTCAGTAATTTTTCCCCAAATAAGGTTTTCATATGAAAATCATCGTTCTTAATAAATAAACATTTCTTAAGTTCCTTGATATATTATATATAATATCCGTTCTCAATATGAGGTACTTTTGCAGACAATGCAATAATTTAAAAAATTTTCTAATCATGATTGTTTTAAATAAATTTCGAGACAAAACCAAAGAAACTGATCAAATCTTTATGGTTTAATATTTTAATAAATGAAAGAAGAGTTTATTGTTCTGTATAGCCTGATTAGACTTCGTAAACAAGAAAAAAAAATTAATGGGATTAGGCTGGGATTCGAACCACAGATATCCCAATTGCTAGCTAGAAATGTTTAACCACTTATATCAAAAGATAGATACATGAAAAAATAAAATAATTTCTTACATTTTATTGGACATGTATTTAAGGAATTAGGTAAGTTACAATTGTTGCCAATTCCAGGCGTCACCAAATAGTTCAAGTGACAGTTGTCCCATTTCAGAAATCTTCTAGTGCGTTCTCTATATTTAAAAGATATTGTTCAAAAGCCGGGATAAGGGTTCAAGAGAACGCACTAGAGAAGTGTCAAATTAGTTGTGAAACTTGAAAAATATCTTTAAAAAATAAATTATGATTGTTAACTTACAATATTGAAATGTACTGAGAAACACCGTTTTAAATTTATTATAAAAAAATCTAAATCAGTAAAAACGCACAATATTTTTGAGATTTTGTGCAACGTGTGTGCTTTTCATTAATCAATAAATAAAAAATAGATGAATTAATATTTAAAATGGTATAAAATTGTCATTATGGCATATTTGATATAATTTTTGACTCATTACTTTATACGAATTTCAAACTTATCTAAAACATCTAGTGTAAGTCATTACACTGGGTTGAATTTAATAACCTCTTTATGCAAATAAATTTAAAATTTAATATATGGCTTGTCGAATTAAACTGAAGTAAACAAAAGGTAAATAAATCTTTCAATTGAAAATTTTAATTATACATAAATTTGAAAGCGTAATTGACGGATTATTAATTTCGTTTGCTGATGAATGGTTTGGCTGCATGAGTGTTTTGTTATTTTTCTCACGTGAAACATAAATCGAGAGGACACAGGCAAATAGCCCTCTTACATTTAAAATATTGAAATAAAAATAATAAAATAATTATCTTTATGAAAAATGAGAGAACCTATCTGTGAAAATTCAATTTTAAATAAAGTTAGGAAATATTAATGTGTCAGACTTTGAAGGATCAACTGATAAAAGAATCTTCTAGTGCGTTCTCATTTAGAAAAATATTTCTGTCAGTAGAAATGAAGAAAAATTACATATATTGCTGAGAAATGCCCAGCGGCTGAGGGTTGAGATAGCTTCCCCGCAAAGCGGTTCGAAAACGAAACTCCTTCAGCGGAACGGAGAAAGAAGTCTGCCGGTTGAGCAGCCTGAGTAAACTGCGCGCTTAGGTTTGCCAGAAAGTGGCTTGAAAGGCAGAGATACCAGATTTGGTGCGATATTGTCCATTTTGTGATATTTGGCGAAAAACTGACCGTATGTCATAGGTAGAACGAGAACATTCTAGAATGCATTTTTAGCAGTTTCCTTGGAGTAATTCTCCAAATGCATGATTAAAGCTATAATGTATACCCTGCCTGTACGGGAGAGATTAGCTTGAGAGGGATCGACCGAGTCGGGAGCTGTACTTTAGCACTTTACCATGAAGCTGTTTTCACCGCTATAGCCTGAAGGCTGTCTTGCTGATTGTTGCAGCATGCGTGTTGTGTTTTTCTGATAACTGTAAACGTGTCTTTCGAACTCGCCTCTGTAATATTGCTTACTGACGAATAAATTGCATTTAAATTCTGCATCAAGTGTTATCAATTACTTCAAAGCCCCGAACATGTAGAAAGCAACAATATTATAATCCCACAACTGAAATGAAGATATAAAAAAATCATACGAGATATTTTCCGATTTCCAGGTTGTATAACTGATGAAAAACAAATGTAACTGGATTTAGGTATATTAAAGATTTAGTTAAGTTGAGATGACAAAGCACAAGAGGACTATCTGCCTATGAACAGAGATACATAGTTATTTTAAAAAGGAGTAGGTTCTAACTTAATCCTTAGCAATTAAACATTCAAGTGATATAAATGCTTCAGATATTCCATCAGAAATATCTAATTTTAGAAACGACGCTATTTCACTAAATTTAAACGCTGAACCAAAACCAGATTTTTTATAGATAATTCAGGAACACACTTTAGTTTAATTACATCTAAATTAGAATTTTCGATTTCAACAAATACAAAAACTCAAGTTACAAAAAATTTATCTATTAATGCAATGTCTTTTCTGTATTATTAGCTATTTATCAAAAAGGTACTTTTTAATGTTTTCATTTAAAAATCAAACTGTAATATATATTTTGTTGAATACAAATGTATAGAGATACAGTTAATTTAATTCTACGTAGGTTATACCTCTTTGCCTAAGGTGGAAACATACGTAAGTATGGCTCTGATGTCCACATTTAATCCAAAACAAACCGAGGTAGTGACGAGTTATCATCCGCTAGTTTTTTAGGTGGGTTATTACTGTAGAGACCTAATTGTATTTCCTGATCCTGAAAACACGAGAAACGAACTGAGTTCTTGCCGAAATTCGAACCATGGATTTGAAAATTTGCTAGAAAATCTTACACCACGACAATATGCTTCCAAGAAAGCAAATATTCTTTGTAATTCAAACAAAAGTAATTCTAAACTTGTTTTCGTGATTGTAAATTACTGTTTAGCACATTAGTTACTAGATAATTTTTCAGGTTTACTTTCAGTCAAGTTTCTTAAACAGCAAAACATGTCATACAGCAAATTGATTGAATAAGACAAGAATTAATATTACATAGTTAGTTAAATTTGGGACGAATTTGCGTTTGTAACAAAATGCACAGATTTCATCTAACTGAAAGTTATGTTTCTTAGTTAATTTATTTCATTAATATGTATGTTTTTATCATAAAGTAAACCGATTACTCACTGGAAACTAATGATTAACATTAAATATAATATTACATTCCATAACTTGTGTTATGTATTAATCGTTTTTATTTTCAAGCCTATGTTTTGCTTATTATTTCAGTTTTGATCTGTAATTGAATTTTTTTTTTTCTGTTTAAAGTTGGTTGTAAGTTTAAACTGTAACTTTTGTAAACTTTAATTTAGCTTGGTTGCTTTAAAAGTTTTCTTGAGTTGAATTTGTTTAATTTTAATTCGAGTTTAGGGACTTCAGATTTTTGGTTTTTGTATCTTGTTGTTTTGACCCTTAAGTTGTTTAACTTTTAACTTTTTTTAAGCCTTGTTGTTCACTTTTGTGTGTTAATTTTTTCTATTTTGTAACTTAATTTTCCCCCTCTTTCTATTAAAGTTGTCGAATACATATTTCTGACTGGCGATAGGAAAAATCTTTGTATTGTATTCAACTGGATATAAGTGTGTATACTTTTGACTAGAGACTTAATGTTGAAATATGAACATTCGTTTTATATGTATTTTCATTTTATTCCCAAGTCATTTTTGTTACTGGTTCTGAAATTTTTCACCCCTGCGACGGCTTGGATTATTCTCGAATCCCATTATCGAATTCTTCGCCAAGCGAAAACCGGTTTTTCGCGTTGGGCGAAGTGCACACTTAGAGGCCAGATTTCCACCCCACAGCCGCTTCCAACCGGCAGGTCTCATATGGTTTGCACATATGTGCGGGTGACGTGTTGGATGGATACACCATATGGAGTTTCCCGCAAAGAGGACCCTGTTTTGTTAGACAGGCGAGCAAGGAAAGGTTCTACAGCGTATTTTGAGGAGGAGGAAATATTTGTTGGGTAGGAAGCTCTACATAGTCGACTGGGACCTCGAGCGAAGTTGGAGGGAAAGTTCTGTCGCATTTTAAAGAAAATA